GCTTTCAACACAAATAAACATTTGTTTTCAATGCGATAATACAACAGAAATCATTCAAGAGACTTGAAAGAGGTGTCCCATATTTTCATAAAGCATGTGAAGTTGCCATGTTATGCTCATCTGTATTTTGCTTAAAACTTTAACAGACTGAGTTTGATGCCTTTCGCTGGGGGAATATTCCCTTCAACTACCTCTGAAAATTTTGACAGCCTGCTCTCAATAGACGTAGGATCATTCTTTCTCCACAGTCTTGTTCTCTTAAGTAATGTGGAGAGGTTTCTGTAAAGTCTGACTTATGATAAAATATAACTTTTTCTGTCTTTTTAATGTGAGTTTGCCAGACAACAAACTCTCTGTTGCTGCCGATGACTCACTATCAGAAAATCAATGAAGTGGTGATACTCTGCACCAGCCTTGTTTACTATCTCGTCTGTCTTCTTTGCAGAAAATTTTATCGCATATAAAATTGGTTGCTTAAATCTCTGCTTTAAAATGTAGACATAGCAGCTTGAAACCTTTCATATTTTATCTCAGTACAACCACAAACCTGACAGGGAAGCGCATGATTGCAAAGTGGACTTAAAAAACTTTTACTAATTCAAATCTGACATGTGTGGCTTGTGTTTACCTGCTGTTTTATAACGGCCACATAGGTTTGTTACAGAATATTTATCAAACAGCGTCATGAATACCAAGGAGAAAAGTGATGAGAAGTTCACTTCAGGGTCAAGTTATTGCTCTGGTCAAAATTGTGCTGCAGGAAAATTTACCTTCAGTCAATCAATCAAGTTTATTTGCATAGCATATTTCAGCAACAAGGCAGTTCAAGGTGCTTTACATCATAAGAAACACACACAAATATAAAAAATACAAAGTTTTTGAAGTGTCAAGTGTCATCGTTACACATCAAAATGTTGATTAATGTTTCATTGATTATGTTTCAAAAGCAACGCTAAATAGGTGAGTTTTAGTCTAGATTTAAAGGCACTCAGTGCTTCAGCTGTTTTGCGGTTTTCTTGGAGTTTGTTCCAGATTGTGGTTCATAGAAGCTGGACAGGGACATTTGTCTCAATCCTGGAAGAAACCCTGTGGAAATCCAGAGCCATTGTGGAGGTTCAGCTTCCATCAATACAACAGCCTAAATACACAGTGTGAGTTACAATCAGATGCTTGGATCAAAGAACATTCATGTGTCAGAGTGGCCTAGTTAAAGTCCAAAATAAATCCAATTTGGAATCTTGAATCTGCAACAAAACTTTTACATGCTCTGTCCATCCAAAATGACTGATCTGGAGGCATTTTTCAAAGAAGGATGAGCAACAATTGCAGTATCTAGATCTGCAAAGCTGGTAAATCTACCCCCCCCCACACACACACACACACACACCCACAGCTGCGATTACAGCGAGGTTGGCTTTGCAGAGGAGCTGAAGACAAGTTCACACTGTGGTTCTCTGATTTTTACAGGCATAAAAAGTCTTTTTGTTTTGCTTTTCCATTTGGATTAGTTTTGGTTCCCTGTTGTTATCACTGAAGGTTGTTGGTGCCGCTTATTTTGTTTCTTGTGTTCTCATTCTTGGTTGTTGGTGTTAGTTTTAATTAAATTTGATATTTTTCTGCTCTGTTCAGAATCTTCTGTGTTCACTTCTTCCTTTATTAGTCACCTTCCTTCAGTTTGCCTCACCTGTTTATCTGATTCTTATTGTATGTTTTCTTTATAGACTTATTTATAGATTAAAATATTTTATACACATACTTGTTATTGCATGTTTTTTTTATTTTTAATGTACCTATAATACCACGGATATGTATGGTATTATTTTTTTATATTTGTATCACCTGTTTACTAATATTTAACTATTTGAATGAAGTAGGTTGTCAACAAATAAGCATCATTATAGTATCTGATTCTGCTACTTGTCATCCCAGTTAGCATACATCAAGTTCTCATTGTGTTCCTATTTTAGTTGTATATTTTTGAAATAGATTATAATTTGGACCACTTGAAGCATTGGGTGTAACTCCATCACAAATCCTAACAAAAAAGGAAAATCTGTATTTGTCCTTTTACATCCACTTTGCGATCATGGACTTCTTTGTGTTGGTCTACAGGAACCAAAATCCCAAATCAAATCCATAAAAAAATTTGGATGTGGAAAAATGTGGGAAAGTTTCATGCGTTTGTGTTTATTTTTGAAAGTTTTCCAACTACTTCCCTCTTAAAGTTATGCATCTTCCTGCTACACTCAGTGTGTACATGGCTAATCTTAGTTGCCGTAGTTACTGACCAAAACTCCGTTCTTTTGCTACCAATTTTCATTCGAGGGCTGCGGTCTTGATTGAAGGCAATGATATTCTCCTGCTCCCAGGAGGAGGGCGTTGTGAAGACTTTGCCGAGGCCCCGTCAGCAAACACCCAGACCCTGCTGATTCAGGGAGTACAGAAAACTCCCACCGTGTCCTCCAAGGCTAGGACTTAGCACCAAGCCGTGTTTGTATCCAGTCAGCTAAAATCCCCGTCTACAAGTCCCGCAGAAATGCCAGCTGAATTACAAGAGAGGAGCAGCCCTCCCAAAGCTGCCTCTGACTTCTGTCACCCCGACTCCTGTTTGTTTGTCTGTGCGTCTGCTAGCTTCCATCTCTTGGTTTCTGTTTCATTCCTGCCAGCCTTTCTTTAAGTCTCCATCTGTCCATGTGTGTTTGTCTGTCTGTGTCCCTGGAGTCCAGACAGAATGCATCTGAGTGCAAATACCACACATAAACCTCAGCTTTCCCCCCCATTCTCCCATCCATGTTCTTCTTGGTGTGAGTCAACGGCGCCCAGCAGAAGGCGTCTCCAGGTTTATCCACAGATTCGATTTCTCCTGGCAGGGCCGGCGAGCTGCGACAGATCGATGACAAAGCCTGTCAGTGCAGCTCACCGTTACTCAAAGCTAGATTGCCCCTGAAAGCCCATGCACCATGTGGTTAATGAATTAAAGAAGCAGCCAGCCAGCATTGATCAGAGCAGCCGACAACCGACTATATCTTCCTTTTTTATGAGTATTCTTGAGTGGACCAACTGATTGTTGAGAGATTTAATCACTGCCTAGTTGCAGTTATGTTGACCTCTTTACTCTGATTTCATTTGCATCATTTTTCTTTGCCTCAACACCTGAGGAGCAGATAAAATTAGATCAAACAGATGCTATCTTTTAAGTTTTATTCTTCCTGTTTAAGAAACAGCTTGAAAACATCCATCTTCATCAGTGTTTCAAACACTTCTTTTGCCCTTGGAATACTTTTAAAAGTAAAAGTTTTATGCAGGGGTCTACATGAAGCCTTTGCCACATAGAGTCTTCAAATGCTGAACATCAAAGTTGACTTTAATACTCCTGGGTAATCCTAGGTATAAATAGTTCAGCAAACATTACAACCAAGTTGTCTGTTAGCATTTTATTGAATTAGGTACTGTCTTATTGTGTGAAGCATTGTTATACCTAGTGTGATATTTAAGTTTGAGATTTTTTCCTGTTATAGGTGCCCTAAAGTGCCATCCAAGATGAACAATACCAAAAGTAGGTGACAAACAAGTTATAAGTAAATGAAAATAATAATTTTAAAAATAAGACCGTATCATTATTTTTTTTTCTATTCTTAATTTCTCATTGTATTAAGTTTGTAGTTTTATTTCAATTATTCAGTGCGTTTCCAAATACAACCGCTAGGGGAGTCTAATGTATTGGGGGCATAGAGAAGGTTGGGCACACAGAAGAAGAATTACCATTGCTGTTAGACATAAGAGTAAACCCCGCATCGGCTGCTCCGGCGCAGGAAATACGGCGGCCATCTTGGAGCGGTATACCCTCCTACTTTGCTCAACCAAAACAGCAGAAGATGCTTCAGCACTGAGGGATATTGTTGTTCTGATCAATGGACTATTGATGTGAGGGCTTGACAAATAACATTTCACAAGTAAGATGGACATATTATTGTGTATATATTGTGATTAGAATATTACTTTACTGTATTTATGTCCACCGGTGAGATACCAGCTAATATAGTGCTTGGTGTAATACGGGTTCAGCCCAGCTAAGAAGGCTAACTGAGATTCTGTAAATCTAAAAAATAATTATGCTCTAACATTGGCTTATATTATCTTACACAAGAGCCTATATTAGAAATGTGACAGTGTAACGTATATTATAAAACTTATATTACTTGTTATAACATTCATCAGCAAAGTTTACACAGGTGGTAAAGACTATTATTTATATGTAATTCTTTCACTCTTTCAAAAGTAAGATAGCTCCCAAATCTTCCGTTTTTGTTTTGAAGGTTTCCTAAAGACACAATGTGAGGAAGAAGAGGGAGATATCTATAAAGAGAGACGGATTCACTGCAGCACGGATTAATAATCCGCATCGGATTTTGGACTCAATCTCAGCTGCTGAATCTCTCTGAAGTTGGAAATCCTCAGCTGCAAAACAGCCGACAGATAATATATATTAGGCTATTTATATGTATATATACATATAAACATGTATCTAATAGATATTATTCAGTATTAATCAAACTGTTTCAGTATTAATCAATTAATCTGTGTCATTATTAATCATTTATTTGTGTTTGTATATTTATATAAATATGTATTGATATTACTAAAAAAAATTAAATAAATTATGAACGGCTGTGGGCTTTGTAAAATGCTCATCATACATCAATTATCAGAATATTCCATTCCTATTCTATGGTTTTCCCCACTAAGCATATTTAAATATGCTGAACTATGTATCAATACAATTAAAAAATACAATTGTTTATAAATGTAGTTTTGACAGATGTTTGAATATGGTTTCCAGTAACAAAAAAGCGATTAAATGCGCTGATATGTCATTGTGCCTGCTAGACATATAACGCTGAGTGGAGCGGTCGACTGCTCCAAGATGGCCGCCTTAAATCTCGTCAGCGACAATAGGCGAGAGCGGTCCATGAGGCGTCTGTCCTTATATTATGTCTATGCTGTCAGATGCTAGTAGAAGCTCAACATGTGCGTCTCATCTTTTCTATATCACAGGTAAGTAAAAATATATTTTTGATCCATATATATTGGTATCCTTTAAGAGTTGAATATATTATTGAATAGAGTCGACTAGTGAGTAAAGTTATGAGGTTTGTAATTAGTATTGTGTAGAAAACGGTACATATTTCTTGAGGCTAATTATTGGTAATGCTAGCGGACTTTGTACATGTGTGTTGAGCTAGCTGAGAAACAGCTGAAGGACTACTGAATTCACTTTTAATTAATTGTTTTTGCCATTTTTATATAGTTTTCACACAAAGGGCATTAATTTGGTGTTCTTAGTCGTAAAATAGACATTTATTTATGATTTATTACAAAAACCAGAGAAACCATGTTGTTAATGACATTCAGTGAGGAAGTAATGGCTGCCTATTTGTGAAGCTTAATAAAGAGAGACAGCTTTACACCTTTTTCAATTTTGTAATTAATTTTTTGTGTAAGAGATAAAATATTATTCTGTGAAAACAGTGGATACAGTTAAAAGCTAAAATGCTTAAATATTAAATTGTATTTCATTTGTAGTTATAATCAAAGACAAAAAAGAGCTAATAACATGAATAAAACATATAATACTTCATTGCAACTGCAGCAATTTTCTTCCATCGTTTACATTTCTCTTTAATTGGTGTTGAAGGCCAGGGAGAGCAGATGTGTTTTCAGTCTGGACTTAAAACTTATACTGACTGATATGATAAAGCATGTTAAAATAATTCTCGTTTGGTTTAAAGAGATATTAAAGTCATTGGTGATGCACTCAGTCTAAGGGCTATCCATTGCAGTTGCTCAGCGATACCTTAAGTATTGCAGTATTGTGCAGTATGTTCATTATAGAGAAGAGGAAAAAACAAAATTACCATTACACCCTCAGCCCATCAAGGTTGTTGGGTAACAGTGGCATGCATTCTGCTTTTTGCCTCTCAGATTGAACTGAAAGACAAAAACTATTACTAATATATTCTTTTAGGAATTCCTTTCATAGTAACTACAATATTGGATTTTTTATGTTGAAGTTTCTTTTACAAGCTATTATGAAAGATCTGACGTGTGCTGGCTCCTGTTTATTTCTCCCAGACTCTGTAGAAACAGAAAAGAAACTAGTTAGTTGGACCACAAAAATTACCTCTTTTTAAAATTCTTATAAAATAAACCAGACTTGAGAACCTTGACTCAGAAAGAGAAAACTATGCAAGATTTTAGTTTTCTTAAAAAAAATGTTTCCTTTTCCTGTGAAAACCCATAAATTTGTACGCCACATGTTTTTGTTGTAGTTGTAAAACAGAAGCAGCAGTTTTCAACACAATATAGTCTCAGTGGGTTTTTTTTATTCCTTGCTTGTTTTCTTTAGGACACCTACCACGGACTTTTAGTGGCAGAGACGATCTTATGTTGAAAACAATTAGACTCTTTTTCACACATGGCTGCATATGTGGCTTTTACCGCTGGACAACATAATAAAGTCTACAGGCGTATTTTTCATTTTAATAAACTAGGAGTCATAAATTAACCAGAATTGGACAAATTAAATAATTGCAGACGATTTTCTCACACAACTGGTTGCTGATTTGAATTAGACGGCAGCTTGAAGCACATCTAAATCCAGGAATTTCATCAAGTTCATCAATTCAAAAATGATGAAATGAGAGCTGTAGCAGCACTGACCTCTTAAATGACTCACTCCTCCTGCTTTTCTCACATGCAGTTTCAGTCTCCCACACTGCAAAACGTCTGATTTTTCCATCGCCCTTCCTAAACGCCATCACACTGCAGAAAACAGGGAGAACCACAAAACACAATCCCAATGTGTAGAACTAGTGTGGCGGTCCCAACAGGCTGCTGAATGCAAGGCCCTGTCAATTTATAGCCCTACTGTGCCTTTTCATTTTATTGCCCCCCCTCATTCAAGCAGCAATAGCAGCAAAGAAAATAAAATGAAATTCCATTTTACATGCAGTCGCTCAGACCTGTTCAGGTGAAAAAAGGAGGTTTTTTTATTATTATTTTTTCAGCTTAAAAAAGGCCACCAACTTCAAACTCTTGCAGCACAGCCAGCAACACTCTGCTTCAGCTCGGGAGTCCACTTAAAGCAGCACTTCAGATCTGGTCAGCTGAAAAGTGCATTTGCCTGTGAGTTATTAATAAATATGTCCATTAGGTTGGTCAGTGTACCTCTGAATGAAGGACGGTTTCAGAATATAAATCTCAGGTAAAATTGAGACAGAAGATGAACTGTTGGCTCTGTGACACCAAAACTTATTTGCAGAACAAAAACTGAGAGTTTTATTTAAATCTTAGTTTTAGTCTAAAGCTGCCACGCTTTGTGAGTGGAGTCAAATGAAAAAGTCGGAGTTGCGTGACGAGGTGAAGGTATGTGACAAACGTTCTCATAAATTTTGTAATTTTTCTCTGCCACATTGAGGTGGACGTTGAAAAAACTAGCATGGTGCATCATTAGTATCAGAAGAAAATTGTGGAATTTTTTATGGTTTCAAAATTATGGGCAATTTTATTTTGTACTGTATTTAGTGATGTTAATCAGCTGTTATGTTGTAATTGGGCAAAAAAATAAAAAATCTGCCGACATAATTTGTTTTGCGTATCTTGTGCTAGGTTTTATTTGGCTCAGAGTTGATCGTAAATAGATAGATTGATTTTGGGTAATGCAGTATCTATAGCTCTCTGGTGAAAAATATTCCAGACTAATCTTTTGTAACAGTGTTTCATCTGTTGGAGGATCTTTCTAAACTCTGCCACATTAATTTTGTTAATGTGACTTTTAGTTTTGGAGTTATAAGATGAAACATGTATTTTCTATCATAGCACTACCTACATGTGAATGTGGCTGAATATTTTTTGTTATAAAGCAATTCAGCTAGATGGGTTTTTTTCAGCTTTGATGAGTAGTTGATGTGTTTGCAAACAAAACATTAATATTTTAGCAATGAGCATTAAATCCTTGTGAGATCTATTTTTAAACACCTTTTGTTAAAGCTTGTGATTAATCAATTTGAGATACTTTCAATCAGTCCCAGTCTATCTTACTCGCATATCCATGTGCTGAATAACAAAAGGGATAGTTTCACGTATTTATGTGTGAAATAAGTGGAATAAGAGGCAGTCCTTGAGCATTCATTTTGAAAATTCATGGTCCTTGTGAGTCCATTGTTTTGTTTACTTACTATTGCAGTAGGCACTAGAGTTTCAGCGTGTTCTGAAACCTTTGTGCTAGTAGTATCTTGGTTGCGAGGCAACAGCTCAAAAGTCTTCAAATATTCTGTTAACAGATGTTTCTAGAGAAATATCTTCAGAAAATATGTCCTTTATGACTTACAAATTTAATTATTTGTGTTTGATTTTTTGTTATTGTTGTAACACCTCTTGGTAATAAACCCAACTTTCATTGAAAATCCTACTGACTTTCCTTGGAATTGTGTTAAATTTGAAAGGAAAATGTATGTTTTGAGCAGCTCCTATTAAAAACCAAATCCTCCTTGCCAATGCCAGAGAGTTTATTCTGTTAATGACTACTGCTTTATGTTGTTTAGTGACATCTGAAGCAACAAGACAACAGAGACCTCAGTAGCGTCTAAAACAATGCACCACCAGTCAAGAGGCTCCCCTTAATGATTGTCACCAGCTTGGTCTCACATACTCCTGAGGAATGGGATCATGTTCACTAACCATTTCTTCAAAACAAAATTCATCTGAAGCTGTAAAACCTACTTGAGCCTTTCAAATATAAGAAAAACACATTTCTTAAGTTTTTAAAATATTCTTGGGTGTTTTACTGTAAAATTAAAACCCACCACTAATTTTATTTCTATTCTGTTTTGCCTACAACTTATTAGCTTGTTACTTCCGACCATGTTCAGAGCTGGAGAAGTGTTTTGGATGAGAAACAAGAGAAGCAGTCCAATTGATTTCCACTCAATTAGCAATTAGCACTAGTAGTGTTGGAGAAGAATCAGCTGAAGTCCAAATCCAGCTGCCTGCCACAATGAGCCAGCCTGAAACACTGCTGAACCATAGAAACTAGGGATGTAACGATACACAGACATGCCGAAAATTTTAGGAATTGCTCTTTTGGTTGTACCGAAGGCTTGTATAGAGATAAAACCAAATTACATAATTAATAAACTCTTTCCCTGAGACAAGAAGATGAGCAAGTTTTTAAAAAAGTCTTTATACATTATTCTATCTATCTATCTGAATAACAACAAACAGTTGCAGGGTGTGTTCATGGCAGATGAGTTCATCATTTATTCAGTAATTAACACAAAGCAGACAGCCGTGATAAACCACTAGACTAAATGCGTTCCACTGCGACACGCTAAAAGGCGCTTATCTTAATATCATAACGCTTAAAATCCAACGCAATTATTCTTCACAGGGGCGTGAAATTGATTCCAAACATTTTCTTTTTCTCCTCCACACACGGTTTGATCTTTGCTCCCCAGGACGACCTTCAATAAAAATTCAATTTCTCACCTAAAGATATCAGAGTTTCATCTTTAATAATACTATTGTGTGCAACTCGGATTATGAAATGTTTTTCTCTCGTATCGCTGAGGAGGCGTTCTGATGATCCAACCAGCGCTGCGTAAAACGCTTGATTAAAAGAAAGATGTTCACTGATTGAGGTTTTTTTTTATTATTATTATTAAAACAGACGTGAGAATCAGAGTGTGAAGGTGTGCCAGATTTAGTCACACAACAGATGGTAGACAAGAGAACATGAACTCTGAGATCACCATCTGGTGGAAGCTGCATGAAAACATTAGGTCTCCTGTTCCAAAATTATCTAAAAACAAAAATATAATCATCTACTGAATGTTTCTTTGGGGGAAAAAAAGTCTAATTGCAGTTTTCTCATTTGATTTGGTGCATGAATTACCCACAAAAGTCAGTCTCTTTCTCAAAATCCTTAGTTTGTCTCTCAAGAATAAATGTGTCAATGAACATGTCAGTACCTCAGAATGACAAGTCATTGTCTTATT